TCAAGGCCACCATCTCCGGTTCCCTCACTGTTTGTAGGACAGAATGAACCGTTTGTCCGGAGGTTTAGCTGGCTGCATCCTAACGGTGCCTTTGTCCAGTTCCTCTGTCTCTGGTGTGTCCTGTGTGTGGCAGCAGCATCAGGGGCTCCATCAGATTCAATGACTTTGATCCAAGGATGTCATGGGGTGTGTGCACACCAGGACTCACCTCACGCCTAACTCTCTCCCCTTCATGACAGTAGTGGCTGTCAAGAATTGGTGGCTGCATCCATTAATGTATCAGCCTTGCACCCGATGGGTGGTATCCTAATAAATATCCCACTCCTTCTTCACGTATTGACTGGGATGTTTCTGTGCTGACACAGTGCCCGTCCTCTACTCTTGGGTTACTCTAAACTACCTTTTGAATAGAAAAGGCAGGAAAAATGCTCCCTTCTTTTTTTTTGAGACGGAGTTTCGCTCTTGTTACCCAGACTGGAGTGCAATGGCGCGATCTCAGCTCACTGCAACCTCCGCCTCCTGGGTTCAGGCAATTCTCCTGCCTCAGCCTCCTGAGTAGCTGGGATTACAGGCACGTGCCACCATGCCCAGCTAATTTTTTTTTTTGTATTTTTAGTAGAGACAGGGTTTCACCATGTTGACCATGATGGTCTCGATCTCTTGACCTCATGATCCACCCGCCTCAGCCTCCCAAAGTGCTGGGATTACAGGCGTGAGCCACCGCGCCCAGCCTCCCTTCTTTTCTTCTAAAGGGTCCTGGCCTTTTCAGACTAGAGGAAGTGCGTGGCTCTTGGCCCTGCACCAACAGCACTCGATGCCCTGGGCTGGAGATGAGGACACTGTGGCTGCCACAGCCAGAGCGGGAGCTGCCCGGGGCTGCATGGTGTAGGTCCTCCTTCCCGTCCCTAGGGGAGGTCAGAGTTGGGCAGGCTGTTCCCTGGTGTAAACGCCTCTGTCCCTAACGACCCCTTCAAGAACTCCTTCTTCTGCAACTTTCTTTTTTTTAATTGAGACTGAGTTTTTCTCTTGTTGTCCAGGCTGGAGTGTGGTGGTGCGATCTTGGCTCACTGCAACCTCTGTGAGTTCAAGTGACTCTCCTGCCTCAGCCTCCCGAGTAGCTGGGATTACAGGCGTCCTTCACCACACCAAACCAATTTTTGTATTTTTAGTAAATATGAGGTTTCGCCATGTTTGCCAGGCTGGTCTCGAACTCCTGACCTCAGGTGATCTATCCGCCTCGGCCTCCCCAAGTGCTGGGATTACAGGCGTGAGCCACCTCGCCCGTCCTTTCCTGCAACTTTCTAACTTGAAAAAGTTCCTGCTGCAGAACAATTGTAGGAGGAAGACCCCTCAACTGCCCCGCGCAGATCTGCAGCCCAACGCCCGTAGCCCCGGGAGCAGTCTCCTCACTTGATTCATTACCTGCTTGCTCTCCTTTCACTTGGCCTTTTTTCTGAACGATCTGAGAATCAGTTGCAGACTCCACACTCTGAACACCCCTGTATCTTTTCTAAGAACAAGGGTTCTGCCTTCAGAGGTTGCTGGGTGCAGCCTGGGGCACGGGACGGAGCCCTGAAACAATCCATGGCCAGAGTTCACTGGACTCCGTCTCCTTCCCTGCCTCAGTGCTGCTCCTTTCCCAGGGTTCTGCCTGTCCTGAACGGCCAGGGTGTTGGCCCAGTTGCCCTGCAATCTGTCTGCTCCTGGACGCCTCCGTAGCAGGGGCTGTGGGTCACCAGTTTCTCCTGCAGGAATGGAGGCCCCCTCCGTCCCCTGAGGGAGGGGGTGCCCTCTGACTCTAAGCCAGTGAGGAACACTCCTGTTTGTACTAAGTAAGTATGAAGGAGGCTTTCTGAGGAAACAAAGGAGCAGACAGGGAGGCCGAGCCCGCAGGAACAGGGCTCCCTTGGTGCAGAAAATGGCAGTGATGAAAGCATGATGAAAGGCATCCTTATGGCCACTCAGAGGGTCTAATGGACTCGTGCCTTCGAGGCTGGGGGGGGGTTGCTTTGTGTGTGGCCATGGTGGGCGGCGGGTCTCTAAAACCATTTCAAAGGCTGCAGCCATCTCATCGGATTTGAATCTGACACCGGAACTCACAGGACCCTGCCACTGTGGGTCCTGGGCACACACACGTTCAGTACACACTCCCTGGACAGATGAGTGTGGGACTCTGCTGGTCCACAACCTGTGCCATCAGCCCTAAGCCCTGTCACACAAAGCCCGTGCCATTAGGACCCTTCATAGCTGAGGTCAAAGCTGGAGGTTGGGCCCAGGCCATGGGGGACCATGGAGGAGCAAGGTCCATCTGCCTGTGTGGGGTCACGTGTGCAGGTGGGTTCGAGAAGGGGTCGGGCATCCTGGAGGTCCCCGAGTCCCCAGCACCTCCTCCCAGTCGCCCTGCTACACCGGGGCCAGGTCTGGGGCCTTTGGGGGGTCCTGGGCACCAGGTCCTGCCTGCTGGCCTGAGAGCCCAGCTCCACTATCTACTCCTGTCCCTGGCTACACACTCGGAAAGTGTCCTGCCAACTTCAGGGAGGATCATCCTGTTGCTCCAGAATGTTCTCATGAAGCCGCCTCATTTCCAAACACAATTTCTGTTTGCAGGTGCCCAGGCCAAAACTCCTCGGAGACACCGGGGCAGGAAAGGACCCCTGTTTTGGAAAGAGGGCTGTTTGCTTGGCCACTGCCCCAGCACTTCCAAATTCGTCGCTGAGAGGGAGACACTTCCCTGAGGGTATCCAGGCCTCTTCAGCCAGATATCACCGTTTGAAAATAGCAGCTGTTCACGCAGATCTGCCAGCGGCCCAGAAGCCCACGCGGGGACATAAACCCCCTCATCCGGAAAAACCTCTTGTAAAATGGCGGATGGCAGGGCGGGGTGGAGAAGGCCAGGCCTCTCTGACGAGGAATGTTCTTTTTGAGCCACATAGCAGCTGGCATCAGGGGCCTGGTAAGCCCCTGGCCGTCAGCCTCAGATGGAGGAGCGCCCTTGTAATCAGCCACTCCCAGGCACGCGGCTGAGCCCGTTAAAGAAAAATGGAAACTATGTTCTCCAAGGGTGTGGAGGATGCCAGGAGCACTCAGCAATGCTCGGCCAGCACCGTGTCTGCAGGGCTGGGGTCTGTCCCAGGGTTGATGCGGCCTCTTAGAGTTGATGAGTGACTGTGGCTGGACGTAGCGTGACTTAGCCCAATCTGCCTCCCAGCCTCTGAGCAATAAGGCTGGGCAGGTGGCGCTTTGGGAGGTGAAGGGATGTCCTGTAGGTGCCCAGTCCCAAGTGACCGGCTGGCAGAGAGGCCGGGCGCAGGGGAGGACGCTTTCTGGGGGCGGAGCTGAGCTGTGCTTACACCCCTGTGCTTTGCGGCTGTTTTTGAGGATTGCAGGAGGCCTGTGAGCTCCTGGCCTTTTGCCAGGGGAGAGGGCAGAGTGGTTGTCTGAGCAGGGGCACCTGCTGGGTGAGCAGTGACAGCGCTGACCCCTCCACTGCCCACTGTCTGAAGGGCTGAGTGGCTGCTGCTCCTGGGGCCCTTCCATGCACACTGGGGAGAGGCTACCCCAAAGACAGGAGCTTGGTTGGGGAGAGCAGACGAAGGCTCAAGGGGAGCAAGAGGTCATTTCTCACTGTTCGCCTCGAGGGCCGTGCCTGCTGCTGCCTCTGGTGGGGGAGGGCCTCTCACTGCAGACTCTTGCTCCCACCAGTGCCTGTGGGAGAGGCCTCCCCAATGGGACACCTATAGCCACGAGTTCTACATGCAGCTGGGGGAACTAGGAACTTAGTTCCAACCCCCCAACCCCCAGCCCACCAGGGTGGTGGCCAGTGGGGTGTCAGTTAGGGCCCAGTGAGTAATAGGCAGGTGATGCCCTGCCTGGCACTGCTTCCTCCCCCCACTGGGCAAACTGGCATATGTGAGATGCCCAGGCAGCTACAGAAAGTCAGCTGGGAGGTTGCCGATGCTGGTGTCGGGGGAGCTGGGGGAAATGCCAGCCACCCAAGCTGGGCAGAGGTGGGCAACTCTGCCTGGATCCTTCATCCTGTGGCTTCCTAGCCCACCCAGAATGGAGGAAACTCCACACCTCCAAGGCTGCTCAAGTCCAAGATGTCATTCAAAGTGCCAACTGGCCCTGACTTCCTCCCTGGACATCAGCCTCCTGCTAAGGGCTTTGGTTTGACCAGCCCTCTCCTCCAGTGCTGGAACCCCCCATGCCATGCACCTCTCAGCCAAACTGATTCCCAAGGGGGCTTCCCACCTGCATTCCCACAGCGCTTTGCTCTGATCCTTGGAGGGCCGTTGGCCACTCGGCTCCAGTTTTATGCACCTTACCACATGCCACCGCTACATGGAGATCCTCATAACCTTCCCAGCAGAAATACCATCCCCACCATCCAGCACTAATGGCACCTGTGAGCGCTTCTACATGTCAGGGGCCATGCAAACACTTCCCACACGTTGTCTCTTGAATGCTCAACCTTCTGAAGTCAATGCCATGACTACCCCATCATGCAGACTGGAAAGCTGAGGCTAAACTAGGAACTGGCCCAAGGTGGCATCAGGTTCCGCTGACTCCATGTTTGGGCCAGGGGAGGCAGCTGGGAGGCACTGGCAGAGCCAGTCTGGGGCCACTCTACAGAGGAGAGGAACATCACCTGTTGGGGGCACAAAGCCTTTTGAGAAGCTGATGAAAGGGGCCTCTTCCTTCCATGACACTGGTGCCAGCACACATGAGTTTCCATTAGATCTTAAGGAATTCAGAGACATCCGAGGCCGGCCATGGACTCCAGGGACAGGCACGGGCTCCATCCCCTCAACAGGAGGGGAGAAGACAGGAGCTGAGCCTAGCAACTCTGGAGCTGCCCCAAGTTGCCCCAACCACCTTCCCAGCCTCGCAGAAGGAGACTGTCTCTGTGACCTCTCCCATGCCCTGCACCCAGAAGGCACGCCACTGGCACTGCGTTTGGGGAAAAGGGAGGGCTCTGGCGGGTGGTTACCCATGCTCACCTGGATGACAGTCTTGACCGTGGCCGTGTGGATGGTGGGCGTGCACACCAGGCCCCCAGGGTGCTGGCCATCGGCGCTGCGGTTCTGCTGGCCCATGGTGAACAGCATGGGCACCGCCAGCAGGCCCGAGGCCAGCCAGATGGCGCTGATGAACTTCTTGGTGCGGCTTCGGGACATGAGGGTCTTGGCCTTGAAGGGGTGGCAGATGGCCAGGTAGCGCTCCACGCTCAGGCTGGCCACGTTGAGGGCGGTGGCGTAGGTGCAGGCGTCGCGCACGAAGTAGTAGCCGCGGCAGCCAGCGTCACCGAAGGCCCAGGGGTGGTGCACCCAGATGAAGTTGTACAGCTCCACGGGCATCGCCAGCAGCAGCGTGAGCAGGTCCGACAGCGCCAGGCTGCCCAGGTGGTAGTGCACGGTGCTCTGCAGGCTCTGCAGCGACTTCTTCCGCGCCAGTGTGAATGCCGTCACTGCGTTGCCCACCGTGCCCACCGCGAAGAGCGCCAGGTACACGGCGGTTACCAGCGCCTTGGAGTAGATGTCGGTGTTCACGTCCAGATGGCTGCTGGGCGCCTCCAGGACACGCTCCGACGCGTTGCCCGAGCCGTTGCCGAAGCCCGGGGCCCGGAGTGCCGCCTCCAGTCCCGCCTGCGCCCGCTGGAAGGGGTCGGCGGCCGGTGCGCCCGGGACCCCTGGCGTGGAGCTGTTGAGGTGCATCGGGAGGCGGGGTCCGAGGCTCTGTCCCGCGCCTCCGGGGCTGGAAGTCCGGGCGGAGTGGGCGCGCCTCCGGCGGGGACCCAGGAGAGGGAGCCCAGGGGAGGGCTCGGGGCGAAGACAGCGGGCGCGCCGTCCAGCCGGGAAGCGCAGACCCAGACGCGCAGCCTCGGGCTCCGCGTTCCTCCGGACTCCCGGCTCCAGACCTTGAGGTTCCTCAGGCTGTCTCCAGGCTCGGTGCTGGTCGCCGGCTCCGCGCTGTCTCGGATCTCCAAACCCCGCGGATCCCCAGGCCCCCGGGAGGCAGCCTCCGGACCGATTTGGGCTGCACAGGGCGGGCTGCTGGCGCCGGGAGGAGCGCACGCAAGGCTGCCCCGGCGCGCTCCCTCCGCCGCTCCCAATCTCCTCCCTCGCGCTCTCCGCGCCCCCGGACCCCGCACACCTCCCGCCGCGTCCCCGCCCTCCCGGCTGTGCACGTCTCCATGGAGCCCGAGGCCGCGCGCCGCGCCCAACAATGGGGGGCGGAGGAGGAGGGAGGCAGCCTCCGCAGCCATCCCCATCCCGCCCGGGTGCATCCTGGAGAGTCACCCCCCCCCCACTGGCACTCCCCTGGGACAGTGCGAGCTGGGTGAGCGCTCCAGGGAATCAGAATTCCGGGCGGGTGCGGCCGGTACCGTGCACCTGACCCTTCTCGCCACCCTCCTCCCTGTTCTCCGCAATTTCTCGCTCCCCACAGGAAGGGAACTGTGCACCTCCCCCTACCCGGGCTCGCTCAGTGCCAGTGAGGGTGTATCGGAGGGCAGGGAAAGAGGAAGCTCCCGCTGATAGGGCTGGGCGGCTGCACAGCTGACTGGGCCACCCCCCACTTCTGGGTGTCCACAGGGTGCCAGAAGCTGGGTGCCAGGAGGACTCTAGGACCACTGGAGATTACATTTCTTGCAATTCCTTTTAAAATCTGGCGTCATGGGCACGCATGGTCTGTGAATGCATTATCTCTGGGACCTGCCCAGTGGGAATGGTGGGGGCTCCGGGCATAGGTATCACCTGGGGCAGCATGGCCTGAGGCAGTACTGAGGACACCTGCAGGGGCTGAGCAGCTGGGTCCTGCAGAGGGCAGGAGCCACGTCTGGTTTCATCAAAGTCTGGGGAGGGGTGAATGGGGGAAGGCAGAACGCAGGCACCCAGAACAGCACCCTCCCCACTCAGGGCCCACACCTGGCACCCTGGGCTGGTCTCATGATGCTATGGGGTGTGAGTGGGCACCCTCTGGGCCCCTTATTACTGCCTGGATTGTCATCAAAGTCATCCTGAGAGCCCGAGCCCCAGCAGGATTTGGGAGGGGCAGTCCCAGCACCGGACACCCTTCCTACCACTGAGTGTCCTCACAGGGTGGCCTCCGTCCCCAGTTGGGAGCCAGGTGACGGTGAGATTCTTGTCCTTTACCTGCTTCCCATCACCTGGCAGCACTGGCATAGGTGGTCAGGCACAAGCTTGCCCCCCACGTCTGGGTTGCCCAGGGGCCCCCAGGGCACCAACTGTCACTTCTCTAGGCCCTCCCCGCCCCCTCCCCTGCTCCCTCCTCCCAGAACCCCGGGGAGAGGTTGGATAGAGCTGCTGCTCCCTGTGTGCAGGGGCTGGAGGGGCTTCTTGGGTGCAGCCCAGGAACCAGCCTGGCCTTCGTGGACTTCGCTGGCTGCAACTGCTATGCTGGGAGCAGGAGACCTGGCCAGGCTGGTGTGGCGGATGCAGGATGTTGAGGGAAGCAGGAGGCTGAGAAACCCCCTCCCAGACCCGCGCAGCTGGGAGAATTCGAGGCTCCTGAACTGATGGCTGGCAGCGGGACTCTGTTCTTACCCCGATTTGGGCTGGTCTGTTCAACCAAAGCTGATACTCTTCTCAGGGAGCTGCAGCTCACAAAAATCTGAGGTTAGAAATCCTGGCATCAAAGGAAACGCCACTGGTCCCTTTGCTGGAAGCCAGGACAGTAGGCTCAGAAGCCAGCAGATGGGGTTTGAACGCTAGCCCTGCTACTTCAGATTTGGATGAGTGTCCTTAGCGGCTCTGTGCCTGAACTGAGTTGTCTGTAAAATGGGAATAGCAGCTGAATGAAGGGCAGGGCTGTTCCTGATGGGTCTCCATGGGGAATGAACGAGGTTGAATGGGTTGTCAGGTGTGAGGTGAGGTGATCCATCACTGTAGGCTAGCATAGGCTGGATTTGTCCTCTGGAAGGCAATTCACCGGTTGCGTACAGAGGGGACCTTAGTGTCCACGCCACACTAGGGAGTCCAGGGGCTGGACCGTGTCAGGTCCAGGCACTCACCACTGTCTTCATAACCCTGGGGACTGACCATGGGTTTGGGCCATCAGGTGCCTCTGTTGAGACCCCCACAAAGAGGAAGGCCACAGTAATGGGCACTGGGGTCTGTCGCTCTGCCAGCCAGAGCAGGATGCAGCAGAATCGTGCCCTCCCTCTGCCAAAGCTCATTGTTTGGTTTTCAATCCCCTGACCTTTTGACTAAGCCGCCCTTATTTTCAAAGATTTATCTTTGAGTTAGCCTGGGAGCTTAAAAAATCATAAAGGCAACTTAGTGCAATATTGTGATGGAGCATTTGCTTAAAAGCACATAGGAAAATGTCACTTGAAAGGCCTTGCTCTAAACAAGGTGTATAGTGGGCCCCTGGTGAGGGTCCCCGGCGGCCCACTGCGCGCGTCGGCCATTCTGAGCTCTCCTGTGCACAGCGCGAGCCGAATGGCTCAGCAGCTGGAAGCTTTAACCTCACGTTGTTTGCCTCTTTCTCTCCCGATTTCTGCAGACAGGAGCCCTTCCTAAACAGCTGAGACTCTTTAAAGAAAGTGCTGGTGAGGCACCTGGTGTAGGGCTGATGGCCCCATAGGGTCGTGGGGTGAGCCTTATGCTGTGCTGAGGCAAAGGGCTAGGCTGGGCCCTGTTGTGCCCCTTGGTGATGCAGTCACGCCTTTGGCCAGGCTGATGCCTTCACTGACAGGTGAAGCTGGGCATGGCCTTGTGGGGGGCAGGGCTGCAGGGGCAAGTGTCTCCTGCAAGTTGGAGAGCCTTGGGGATATGCTCCCCCGATCCCAACACTCCAATGCTGCCTGCTGGAGGGGAGCCAGCTGGTCCCGTGAGCAGCGAGGGCCAAGACCTGCTGACACCACGGTTTAGATTCTAGGGTGCAGTGGGAGTGCTGACGAGGGGCAGCCAGCATGCAGGGGACATTCTGGCTTTCTGTGATTCTCCGAGTGGTATGAGCAAGGCCATGTCCTCATTACCAAGCAAGTAATGACATTGTGCCTGGGGTGACAATCACGTCCAAAGATTCACCACATGAACAGTCCCTGGGAGCTGCTCCTAAGCGGGGGGGGGGGGGGAGGGGGGGGTGTTGTCTCTGCTTGTTTTGTTACCAGCTTACCCTGAGTCCCTCCAACGCTGCCTGGTAGGTAGTTGGCGCTCAGTGGGTTGCTGTTGCACTCGTGGAGAGATGTGAGGGTGAACTGAGCGAGGCCACACCAGCAGGCTTCCCTTCTCTCAGGCCCCCAACCACTGTTGCTAGCAGGAAGCCTTCTTGCTATATTGAAAAAAATTAAGTGAGTTTACAGTAGCACCTCTCTCAGTATCTATTGCTGTGTAACAAATGCCCCACTGTTTTCAGCAGTGGCTGAAAACCACAAGCATTTATTATTTCTTTTTCTTTTTTTTGAGATGGAGTTTCGCTCTTGTACCCAGGCTGGAGTGCAATGGTGCGATCTCGGCTCACCGCAACCTCCGCCTCCTGGGTTAGGCAATTCTGCCTCAGCCTTCTCAGTAGCTGGGATTACAGGCACGCACCACCATGCCCAGCTAATTTTTTGTATTTTAGTAGAGACGGGGTTCACCATGTTGACCAGGATGGTCTCGATCTCTTGACCTCGTGATCCACCCGCCTTGGCCTCCCAAAGTGCTGGGATTACAGACTTGAGCCACTGCGCCCAGCCCTATTATTTCATCAGTAGCCGATTTCCTATGGGGATGAAGGCGGGTGGGGAATTAGGGGCACAGAAGACACATAACATACATAATCGGTAAAGTTTGGCTGTAGATTTTCCCACCCACAGCATGGAAATTGCACATGTTCCAGGACGCATGGTGTTCCAAGGAGGATCTTTAAGAATCGAGTGGACAGGTGCCCATATTATTCACGTAGAGAACTGTTAGCAGGCCAGCGAGGAGGGCGGAGCCATTTCCAGCCTCGAGCTGGCTGCACCCCTGCCATCTCTGGGGCCATTGGCAGATTCTGGCGGTTTGCCCTACAGGCGGATCAAGCCCCAGTCATCGGCATCCTTGTGCCCCACATCCCCAGGTCGCCCCTTGGACCTCGGCCAGCTTTCTGGAAACATGAACTGTGTTCTGAGAACAGAAGACAGAGCAGGTGCGCTGCCCATGAGCACAGCAGCCGCTGCAGTGGAGAGTTCCCCCGGAAGGCCAGGGATGCCAAGGGCAGGTCGGGTGACAGGCTGGAGAGGAGGTGGTTTCGAATCCCAGCTTCACCAGGCCTGGACCCCCAGTTCCCTGTATGTGAAATGCACAACAGGGCCCCTTGGTCAGCAGGCTGCAGTGAGCATCTCATGGTGTGCACACACTTCATTCCGCAGAGGCCAGGGCTCAGCCTGGTGGCCGCAGGGAGCTGGAGAGGCTGTGTGGGAGGAGGATGGCCCGGAGTGCCGCCCCACACTCCGCCTTTGCCCGGGTGGGGACACGTTCCGGACGCTGTGGTAGCTGTCTGGTATGCTTGGCTGAGGATGGAGAGTGATCGGCCACCAGAGTTATGTGAGGTCTCCGTCAGTGTCACAGACACTCAGCGATCCTGTCCCGCCTCAGGCAAGCCGGGGTGGCCATTCCACCATCCCCCAGGTCACCTGAGAAAGATGGCACTGGCAGGCTGGGAGGCTTGGGGTAGGACAAACAACTCACTCTAGTTTTCCTCAGACTTTCAAGGTTTTAAGACAAAGTCCAGAGACTGGAAGCTGGAGCCCTCTCAGTCTCAAGCAGCTGGGGCTGAGGGTCCCCTGGCTGGGTGCTGTGGGAGGGGCTGAGGGTCCCCTGGCCGTGTGCTGTGGGAGGGGCTGAGGGTGGCCCTGGCTGTGGCTGAGGGATGGGCTGAGGTGGCACTGGCTGGGTGCTGTGGGAGAGGCTGAGGTGGCCCTGGCCATGGCTGTAGGAGGGGCTGAGGTGGCCCTGGCTGTGGCTGTGGGAGGGGCTGAGGGTGGCCTGGCAGTGGCTGTGGGAGGGGCTGAGGTGGCCCTGGCAGTGGCTGTGGGAGGGGCTGCGGTGGCCCTGGCCGTGGCTGTGGGAGCTTGCTCTTGTAGCTCCCCTCCCTTCCCGTGCTCTCTCCTGCTCTGTTGATCTCCCAGCCCAGGTCTCCCCCTCTGGGACCAGGTCTCAGCACTCCTGCCAAATCCCAAAACATCCAGGGCTCCTTCACCTCCCATGGCTAAGAAGCCAGGAATCTTCTAGTTCAAACCCACCATGGCTCGTGGAGAGCTGGCTGCTCTGTAACCGGCCCACTTTTTAATCATACATTTCCTCTGGGCTCTGATTCAGCAGGATGGTCTGACTCATGCAGTCGTCAAACATATATCAACAAGTGTGTCTGCCATCTGCCTGGAGGCCAGAGCCTCCTAGGGAGCCTTGGCTCAAGGGCTCACACCTAGTGGGCAGAAGCAGCCAAGTTCCCTTAATTCATGTGCCCCCAAGAGCCATCTGCCTTCCACCTGGCTCTGCAGGGATCTGGCACAGGCTGGGTACCCGGTGGATAGGGAGGTGTGTTGAGCAGATCGTGAGCACCTGGAGGGGACAGCTGGCACTTCACCTGCTCAGCCTCTCCCCTTGCCTGGGCACCAGCACCCCCAAGTCTTCCTGTGAGCTGCCTGCTGTCCACATAGTCTATGTGTGCACACGTGTGGACACCGGCGTGTGTGTT